TCGTTTCCCCCGTGAAATCTGATAGGAGCCTTCTGGGGCTTTTTTTTCCCCTCTTCTCTCTTTAAAGCAATTTCAAAACCCGGTTATTAAATCTAAAACCCACTATTTGATAGTTCATGTCTAAGCTAAAATTACCCAATATGAAGATGCAAGCACAAAATAATTTCCTAGGGAGGTTTACACAAAAGGGAATAACTGATTTTTTTTTTTCAGTCTTTTGAGAAAATCTGTAAGAGGATGAATAAAGCGAAGAGTGATGATAGCGCAGCACAGATACAAACCTGATGATTTTACTCCAATTCTGTCCGGTTTTCCACTCCAGTGGCTTCCTTAAAGGATCATTGTCAGAAAGAAAAATCACATTGCTGGAAGTGGGTTGTGCAGTCAATCACTGGCCACCGAGAAAGTGGGGGATCAGATGGATTCCCTTTTGAATTCAATCAAAACACACTTCAAAGAAACCGGCGTCTCTTGACTGAGGTATTTAATCATATATTTGGTGCCTGGCTCCCTGTCACAGTTGCTTAATGAGACTAGACTTTTGTAATCCCAGGAAAGAGAGGCCAAAAGATAATTATGCAAGCTATAAACTCTTTTCACTGTAGATACCAACGTTTTGGATAATTGTGTTTGCTTGGACTGGCTCTTGAGCAGATTGATTTATAGAAAATAATGGCTTTTTTTTTCACTGCTGGAATGGTATAAACTATTATTTTCTAACCTGTAGTCCCTGCAGTGCCTGGATTATTTGCGAGGGCTCTGCGAAAGGTGACAGGGAAAAGCGTGTCTTCATATGATCCGCAGCAATTACATATGGGAAACTTCTGAAACTCCATATATTGAAAAAGGTATAAAACTGCGATGTAGACAGCCTGAGGAACTTGATGAATGTGCTCAGCTCCTCCTGGAGAGGCCAAATTCGGCAGCCTTTCCCTGTGCAGAAACCGTCTGAGCGACTGGTTGTGGCAGTGTGTGTTCCCGGCTCCAATTAGTGTGAGATTGCAAACCACTGTACGCCATATGGAGCCTCCACTGTTCCTGATCGTCCGTGTACTTGAAAAGGCTGAGGTGTGCTGCCGGTGCTTCTTTCTGTTCTTGTGCCCCTCATCGCAGCCCCTGTGGCTGCATCCAGCCGTACGTTGCTGTTCAGGCCAATGCAGCAAGAGCTGAGTGACACACAATCATCTGTGTGGGCTTTTTTAGGTATTCTGTGGGTGGTTATTAAATTTGGAAAAAATACGTGGCTATTAGGACCAGTGATGATTGAATCGGGTCCTTTCAGAAGGCACAGAATGTTTTATTCTCTGTCTCTGGAGTTATTTGTTCCCTTTCTCTGGAGTTAGTGTCCCCAGTCGCTGGGGATTTGTATTTCCCTTTTCTTCAGAAAAAAAATGCGGTCACCCTTTGCACTGGGACAGCCCTTATCAGCAGGCTGGGGGAGCAAACCTGAGGGAGATACGTGCACCAGAAGTAGGTACCTCACTGCTTTCGCAGAAAAGCAGAAATGCAGATGAAGATGGTTGTGGCTCTGGAGATGTGTATAAATAATTTGCATTACTTCTGCGTCTGAAGAGAGTATAGAGCCCGGTAGTAATCCTTTGCTTCCCACAGCCCTTTTTGGGGGGATCAGGCATGTTCCTGTGTCACATATATTAATTTTCTCACAATTTTTATGTCCTTCCTCTCTTCTCTGTCCTCTGTGGGATCCACAACAGATTTGGTTTACGGTGTTGATGTTGGGTTTCTTCAGAGAAGGAGTCACACTGTTCACGTTTGCTTGCTGGAATAGACTCGGGGAGTGCATCATCTTGCTTCTGTGAAACTTTGTGTTTGTTTTGTATTCAGATGTGAGATCACATCTATGAATTAATCTAGACATTTTCAGAATTGTTTGCCTTTTTTTCAGTTTGCTTGTCTTAGGGAAAAAGAAAAGAAAGAAAGAAGAGTAATGTCCCCTCAGTCAGGTTTGTTGCTGTTTCCAAATGACTTTTAGGAGCATAAAAACTCCATGTGTTTTCCCAATTCCACATAGTTATCCTCATCTCAGCGTATTGCTGGGGGAGGCAAAACTCTTTTATCTCTGCAGATGTGAACGCTGTTTGCTTCTGTGTCTCACGATGTGTTTTGATTCCTCTCTTTTCTCTCCAGCCCAGGGCTTTTAGGTAGCTCCTTTGGGTTTTTTGCAGCCTTGGACCCAGAAGGCAGGCAGTGTCTGTTTTAATCTTTCCTTTTGCAGCTTGATACTCTGCTCAGCGCTCACTCTGACATTCAGCATTTCTCCCTTCCCAACCCTGTTCTCTGCAGGCGTTTCTGTAGTGTGGGAGTAGAGTATAATGTCCCTCCAGTCTTAAAAGTGTGAAAAAGCTCTTTCCTTCCGGAATTAAACAACTGCTCTTCCAACCGCTTGCTGAAGTACTGTTCTGTTAGCTTAGTCCGACACATAGCCTGCTGTAGGTGACCCTGCTTCGGCAGGGGGATTGGACTGGATGACCCACAAGAGGTCCCTTCCAACCTCTAACATTCTGTGATTCTGTGATTCGTGCAGGATCTAAGGTAATTCAGTCTTTCCCATCTCAGCCAGCAGCATGCCCCAGCCAGGTAGCTTTTCTGCATATTTGAAAATTTAATGATGCTCTCTATTTTTTTTTTTTTTTTTACCTCCCAGTAAGGCGTGCACTACAGATGGTTGGAGACCAGGTGGAGTATGTCTGCAGGGTCTTCTGATTAATCCCTATTTAAGACAGTTTTCATTGTATGTAATGATGCAGGATTTTGCAATTTTAAGCCGTATTAGATACAAAATGGCAAAGTATACTTTAGATTTGACTGTAATAAAAATATTTATGGTTAAATAGAGTTTGCAATGTCTACTTTTAAATCCATGCTGACAGAAGAAACTATGAAGTGCCCAAGACAGGTGTCTGGTTCAGTGTTTTGTGTCGGACAGTGGCACCCAGGCAGAGCGCGCAGGTCCGGCTGCTTTCTGCAGTGCGTTTCTAGCGTGCCCAAGTGTGTGTTTCTCGGAAAAGAAAGTTCTGTCAGACCCTGGCGCCCGTAATGGCTTACACAGAGAAGTAGTTACAGATCTGTTAATGAGTTAGGTAACCGCTCAGTGGACTTCAGAACAGCAGCCCTGCAGATTGTTTATGAAATAGTGTTTTTTCAATCAATTTGTAGGTGTTTAGGCACCCTCTTCACTCTTCCCTTCATGGTTTCGCTGTAAGGAGGACGAATGGAAAACACAGAGTAATCAGAAATCAGTTAATCTGATCTTGGAACACACATATTGAAATGCCTTACTTACAAAGATCCAGATATTACACAGCGGAGGAGAATTTGAGAACATTTGGATCGCTGACCTGTGCATTTCTGTAAGCTTAGCTTGTTTGGATTACTCTTTGTTTGGACTAGAATTTTTCTGTTTGTTTTTAGGGTAGCTGAACCTTCTTTGTAAGGTATATGACCTTAAATTGCTGGTGTGCACACTTATATCTCAGTGCTAGTATAAATCTGGCGGGATATTCTGGCATTTAAGAAAAAAGAAAACCCCATCAAAACCAGAATGGGTTTACAAAATTTTTTCCAACTTCAGCAGCTGAAGAAATTCCAGTTGTTTTTAAGTGCTCTCAGTGATACTAGACTTGGTTTGAATTGTGGGGGAGAGCCTGGTGCACTTGAGAGTTGTGTTTGCTACTAGCCGTAGGTGCAGTCCTCGCATGATTAAAGCTCAGTGGTTCTAAAAGATAATAAAGCTTTGCACCGATAACGTCTCCCGACGTGATTCAGTCCTTCCAGCTGCAGAGTTTCTCCTTTCTTACATCTGATCATGACCCGTGCCACTGGCTGGCAGAGGGGACTGTGGACCGCTTCAAACAATACCTGCTGCTCTGGGTTGCTGGAAGCTGAGCCTGCGTCTCCCTCCATGGTGTGGGTCCGTGCTGGGCTCTGTGGGGCTGGGAGAAGGTGGCCTGGTGCGGTATCGCCCTCGTCGCTGCCCTGGTTTCTGCCACAGTCCTCGCCTTGCTTTCCTTCTGCACTTCTGTCACAATATTGACATACAGCTTTTTTGCCAGTTGCCATGGTTACCTCTCAGCTACCCGCATCTGAACTGTAGAATGAGTAACAAGCAATACATTTCAAGCCTTAATGAAATGCACAGCAGTGTGTTCAACTTTTAAACCCAACATGAATATCGCTAAGCAACATCCATTCGTGATTTGCCATAATTACTGCTGCAAGCTCCTTAGGATTGAAATGCCGGAGCACAAGTCTTTCCCCTCCACTGCATCAAATATGTTTTTCTGCCAGCAGCTTCACAGTATCTCAGACCTGTGATGTTTCATAGTCCCTTCACAGTTGCAAAGAACTAAGTTTGACCTCTTTAAATTATTCACACCTTCAGACCGGCAACATCTCCAAAAATCTTCTTTTGTGTGCATCGCCCGTTCCCTTCTCATTCATGCCCAGAAATTTATTTTAAAGCCTTTTGATTCTTCTGCACTGGTTCTAAAATGTGAATCCAACTTGTTGCCCCCAAGCCGCTGCTTGCATGGTTGGAAGAACTAATTTTGTCAGACCAGCACTAATGTTGAGTTAAAATGTGTGCGTAGTTGATGCTTGGAACTGTTTGCTCCAGTGACTGTACCAGAAGGAGCCGATGCCTCAAGTCTTCTGAGATGGGGGTTTTCTACTGAGAGGTCTTATTTAGTATCTGTCTTGAACAATGCATTTTATCCATTGGTTTGAGAAGTAAAATGAAACTGGACCCTGGTGGTGTGTCCACACTCCAGGCTTCAAGTCGAATCATTAATTGCACTGCCCAGTGCAGTTGCAGTTCTTGACTTAGTTGTGCTTGCAGTTTGGGTGGTTCAGAATATCTCTGTGCTGTGCCCAGTTTCTCTGCTGGTCAGTCTGATGTCCTGTATTCTGTTAATATTTTGTGTTTACAGCACCTGAATTACCAATCCTGGAGAGGAAAAACTGGTTGATCTACCTGCTGTATGTTCGCAGAGACTACGACGAGTGTAAGGTAAGAGCTGCTGTTGAGACTTCGCGTTAGGAAGCGTTTTACTAATATTACAAAATGACAGTTCTCATACCAGTTTTCATACCACTCTCTTTCCTGACTTCTTTTGAAATAAGAGGACCGGCACAAAATACAAGTAAGTAACTTTAATGTTCTGAAATCGTTGGTTACCTTCAGGATTCATTTGTGCAGTTCTCTGGAGTGCTGTGTGAGCTCAGTATGTCTTTGGGAGTGGAAAAATGGAAAGAATTGGAAACTTCTCTTGTTCTAAGTGATGAATAGGGTCTTCCAAGCTGATGACAGCACAGTTCCATAGTGCAGGTCTCTGGATGGTACTGTAGAGATGCTCTGAAAAACACTTCAACTGAGTAAAACATTGCTACCAAGTCTGAAAAAAAAAAATCTTGATTACCCTTGGACAAAATTCTTTCATTTTACACATGATACATTGCATCCTTTCATTTCTCCTGGGTTTGGTGGGTATCTCAGAGGCAGTTGTTTGATTTGGGATTACAGCGGTAAGTGGGGTAAGGAAATGGCAGATCTATTAAACACTGCACTTTCCTGATAAAACGAACACCAGCTGTTGAAGATGATGTGCCAGGGGGCAGGAGGAGGGGAGTGAGAGTTGCCTTTCTGTTTCTGTGGTGCGCGAAGAAGATCTGGAAGGACTTTTTTCCTTCTGAAACACCAGGGTTGGTCAGGACTTGTCTCTCTCTGCTGGAGAACTCCTGGGGGTGCTTCGGAAAGTGGCAGGGCGGGGGAAATTCATTTCGCTTTTAATTAATGGAGCCAGAGGGTTGTGTTATCAGCAGAGCGATTTCCTCTCAGATCTTGGTTTAAATAGATATAAACACAAGTTGGACTGGCAATCTAAATAGAAAATTGTTTCCCTTTTCTGTTGATCTGACTGCATTTTTTTGGTCTCTGATTGTGTGCACTTACTGTTTCTGTGATGGATGTTGAATCAGAGCGCAGAAAAGATATACAGCTCAGGAAAACAGAGAAAATAACCAACTGGATGATATAATGGCAACACTGACTTCTCCACGTCTTCATCAGTCATGGAAGCAAGCAAAATATGGGGGAAAAAATCGACAAAAGACAGCTATACTCTTTTGCTTGGCAGGCCAGCTTTGCAGTAGCTGTCAAAGTAAAAGGCAGCAAAGCCTTTCCTCAGGGCTCGCAGCGCAGGGTTTTTGCAGTGAGGTTGACAGGGTTTGGCAGCAGACTGTAGCAGGTTAAACACTCCTTCATCCTTTTGCCCAGATGGGGTGGGTGTGTGCTCAGAGGCCTGGATTCATCCCAAGGAAGATGGGAATCGCAGCGTGCCAGGATGGTGCTTCAGTCACTGAGGAGTGATAGGCAGGTCTGAAAGGCGATTCTGACCTTGGGTGGGCTGAGCTGCCCTCTGGTCGTCTCCGTCTCGCTCCGCGGATGGTACGTGGGTTTACGGATCTAATGAGGGTGCCCCGAGTGCTTGTCCTTATGTGTGATAAGCACAGACAGTCCCAAACATGCTGTCTGGGGCTAATACCTTCAAAAATGAAAAACGTATTGACACCATCCCCAGTGGCTTAAATTGCTGTACTCATTTATTTCAGTAGAGTTTGGGCACTCGTTAAAATCTGTTAATTTTCTTTTGAGACTCAACTAAGAAACAACTGACCTGTATAATGCTATTAGTTTGGGTCTGAATCTTGCTAGACTGTCTTTCCCACTCAGTGCTTCGAGATGCCTCCTCTCTAACATGATTTTAAAAGCTTCCACAGATTTCAATGGTATAAAAGGCCAAGAAAAATTGCTTACCAACATTAGCTCCCCAAAATGAAGGCATTAAATTGATTTTAACCCTTACAGTGCCAATCCTGTGTCTATTTTGGTGTTGCCAAGCTTTTGACAAATTGTGCTGCTTGTTCCAGCGAGAGATTAATAATGCTGGCGGTTTGCTCCGCCTTCCCCCTACCCAGCACCCTGCAAGGCAAACATTCCCGAGCCTGCGGCTGCCACATCCCCCGCGATCGCAGGGCAGAGGAGGGGGGGGGGGGGGGGG